GAGGAGAGAGAGAGAGAGAGAGAGAGAGAGAGAGAGAGAGAGACAGAGACAGAGAGAGAGACAGAGAGAGAGAGAGACAGAGATACACAGAGAGAGACGGATGGAAGGATGTTGATGCCGCAGAGTGTGAGGGTTTGAGTTGTTGGTCCGACGTCTCCCTCCAGCAAACACACACACACATACTCACTCATACACACACACACATACACACGCACACACACACACACACACACACACACACACACACACACACACACACACTCATACACACACACACACACACAGATGCAGCAGTTCGGAAAGACATACGGTGGCAAGAAATAATGTCATTTTCTTTGAGAGAAGGACTGTAGCTTCTGCCTCGTTAGTGCTTGTGTTTTGTGGAAAGGAGAATTGAACCCGGGAGATACCAGTTTCTCAATCCCAGCCTGATAAACGCCGGTGGCGTGTGCTACAGCGTACGACGTCCCGATCTCCTAGAACGGTGCTGTGTTGAAAGAAGAACCGAACCCCAGCCGTACCAGTTTCTAGACTGCATCCTCACTGCTCTATTGGTCAACTGGTCTACACATTGTCTGGATTATTGGTCAACAAATCTTCACCTCTCCTGGTCTATAGGTCCACAAATCTACTCATTACGTGGTGTATTGGTCAACTGGTCTACACGTCACCTGGTCTGTTGGTCAACTGGTCTACACGTCACTTGGTCTATTGGTCGACAAATCTACACGTTACGTGGTCTATTGGTCAACAAAGCCACAAGTCATCTGGTCTATTGGTCAACAAATTTACACGTTACGTGGTCTATTGGTCAACTGGTCTACACGTCACCTTGTCTATTGGTCAACAAATTGACACGTTACGTGGTCTATTGCTCAACTGGTCTACACGTTACGTGGTCTATTGGTCAACAAATCTACACGTTACGTGGTCTATTGGTCAACAAATCCACACGTCATCTGGTCTATTCGTCAATAAATTTACACTTCACCTGGTCTATTGGTCAACTGGTGTACACGTCTATTGGTCAACAAATCCACACGTCGTCTGGTCTATTCGTCTGCTGACGTGAGAGCTGACGACACTAGAGACTTGCTGTTGTTTCCTGCCGTGTCACTCTTTCTACGTCACTGTGTACCTGACTGTCTGCCCACACCACCGTCTGTGAACTTGGCTGTCTGTTTATCTGGCTGTCTGTGTACTTGGCTGTCTGCCTATCTGTCTGTCTGTGAACTTGGCTGTCTGCTTGTCTGGCTGTCTGTGTACTTGGCTGTCTGCTTGTCTGGCTGTCTGTGTACTTGTCTGGATTTCTTTATGTCTGTCTGTCTATCTGTCTATTTATCTCACTGTTCGTTCATTTGATTGTCAATCTAAATCGCTCCCTGTTATCTAACGTCCATTTATTTGACTGACTTCACTTGACTGTTTATCTACGTCGCTGTTTCTCTAACAGTCTACTTCGCTGTCCATCTACCTGACCATCTGTGTACCTGCGACCCTACCCCGTGACCATGGCTTCCAGTTTCAACGACGTTCTGATCAGCGGTCAAGACGCCACCAACTACAGCATCAACTTCTCCCAGTCGCTAGGCAACAGCAGTGACGTAGGCGGTGGCAGCAACCTGAGCTCCCAGGACCGTCCCTCCTCCACAGCCCTGCACATCGGCGCTGTGGTCATGCTCATCGCTCTCCTCTGGGGCCTGTTCGGCAACATCCTCACCTCGTTCGTCATCCTCACCAACAAAGACCTCAAGAGTACCACCAACGTGTTCATCGTGAGCCTCTGCATCAACGACATCCTCAATCTGGGCATCAACAACATGATCGTGCTTATCTCCTACTTCATGATGGAGTGGACCATGGGCCTTGCGATCTGTGAGATGGTCATGCACTTCACCGTTCTCTTCATGGGCTCCTCCCTGTGGCACACCGGACTCATCTCCATCCACCGCCTTATCGTCGTCTGCTTCAACAACTTCTACAAAAAGATTTCCAAGAAAGCCTACACCATCTTCGTCCTCTCCTTCGCCCGCATCGTCCCCGTTCTCTTCATCATCACGCCACACCTGGGCCGCATGTCCCAGTTCCAGCCCAAGCTGATCCGCTGCCTGGCACGGAAAGAGTTCGGCCTGTACACCATGCTGGTCAGCGTGACCCTGCAGATGCTGCCCTCCATCGTCCTCATCGTCTGCTACATCGCCATCTTCATCAAAGTGTTCCGCTCCTCCAGCGCCATCCGGGCCACGCGGAAACGTGAGTGGTTGCGGCGGGAGATCCAGGTCACCAAAATGTTCGGCATGGTCTTCCTGCTCATCATAATCGGCTACCTCCCCTACGGGATCGTTCGCTTCATCGACAGGAAGCTGGAGCTGAGCGCCGACTTCTACGTGGGTATCTCGGTGGTGTACGCCGTGGCCAACAGCTGTAACCCCATCATCTACGGCGTCATGGATCGCAAGATCCGCCGCTACTGCTTCCGCGCCCTGGGCCTGGAGGAGTCGTGCATGCGCAGTGACCAGCAGATGAAGAAGAACATCAGTCTGAGGACCAACGGCGAGCCCGAGATGGCCACCGAGACAGCTGCTGTGAGCACTCCGGGGAGAACTGTGGCCCCCACCGCCACCACTGTGGCCCCCACCACCTCCGCTTCCTCCTCCTTACCCCCGCCCTGTCAGGTCTGACTACACTCGGGGGTGGACTTTAACCCTCGCGAGGCGGACGCCCTCGACGCATGCGCGTACCAGACCCCCGTGACGTCACGGCACTCCACGCTCCTGGTGGAGGTCAACGGGGTCACGGGGGACATGAGTGATGGTGGGGGAGTGGAGGTCGTGACCTCACAGAACTCTGTCGGTGGCACCACGGGGGTGGGGGAGGATGGCTGCTTCCAACATCACCAACACCACCACCATCATCCTCATCATCATCATGAGCAGCAGCAGCAGCATCATCATCACAGCTCCGCGATAGGCTGCGGCGACCTCCAGAACATGTTGTCGTGGGAGGAGGGAGGCTGGGGGTCGTCTCCTGGCTCCTATCCTCCCTCGTCTGGCGTGGAGGTAGTGGAGGTCAACAAGTGCAGCAAGAACCCGCTATGTGAGGGGCGGCCGGAGGTTGTCCTGCCCACGTGTGTCCTGGAGGAGGAGGTCCACCCGCCCCTGCTGGAGTCGAAGAGCAGCCTGCGGAGGTCGGAGGAAGACCTCATCTACTCCCACCTCACCAGGGAGAACATCAAAGCCCTCGTGGGGCGCTCAGACTCCATGGCCGACCTGGCCGACAAAAGCTCCAAGTCTCGAGGCGTCCGGCTACGTCACTTCCTGTGCCGGAGGACGTCTCTGTCCGCGCCGAGTCTCCGCGAGGGCCCGCCCGCCCGGCCTGAGGGCTCCTGGTTCTCCAGACATTCCGCCGCTAGGGCGCAGCACAAGACGCCCAAGATTGTCATCGACAAACCGTCGGACGACGAGGAGGAAGAGGAGAACGCCAGCGACGTGGATGTGGACGAGCTGGAGGAGTATTATCGGCGTCAGCTGGTGCTCAGTGACTGGGAGGAGATCTGTCGTGACCTCAGGGTCACAGAACTCTAATGGGAAACCTACACTCACACAAGGAAGACAATCATCTAATCAAACCTTGACCCTTCCTCTCGAAATGACGGAACTGTTACGGCCAAAGAAAACCGACAAGTAACCGTAATAAAGAAAAAAAACCCATCCCTGTACATTAGACCGTACAGTGACGGAACTGTAGAGGGAAATAAAAGCACAAACTAGGAAGTTCAGTAAAATAAAAATTCATCGTCGTCGGCCTGAGCGTGATGGAACCGTGGTGGACAAAAGAAAGCCACAAGGCAACCGTTCTAGATCTACAGAACAAACCTGTATCGCGTCACACTGGGCCGACGTCTGTGCTGGGACAGTTGCGCCATTTGCCTGTAGACAAAAGACATGGGTTCGATTCCCCCGTCGTTGGAAGTTGTTTGTTCTATCGAACATCTCCGTCTGTCTTCTGGGAAGGTGTGTCCCTCTACTCTGCCCGTGGCTGTCTGACAGCCCAGAGGGCGAGGTAGTCCGCCCCCTAAATTATCTATTTTATGTTGACGAAGACCTAAACCGTTAAAACGTCTGCAGTTGTCGACTTCACCCCTCGGGAGTGCACTGTGATCTGTTCTATATAAGACCTGAAAGTGTTACAGGGTACACGTCATCGCATTACATATCATGCCGTTACAGCTAGAAGGTTCCATCTTCTTTAAGTCTACAAGAGAGATAGAACCTTTTCGTTCTAAGGCCATTACTATCCTGGACACTTTGTCAACGTATTCTTGTACAGCTCGGTCTGTCATGTTTGTCGTCTTCATCTGTGACATTGCATTTCCTGTGTATGACGTCATAATAATATAGTGAACAGTGAGGAAGAAAATCGTCTGCAATGTTGCTTACTCATTTCCTCTTACAGTCTATGTATATTGTACATGTATGTGTTTGCGTATAATATATATATA